TATACATGTAAGCATACACTGAAAAAGTGATTCAATCTGTGACACAGTCGTCCCTTTTACTGCCTATGCTTCATCAAAAAAACCAGGTTCTGTATGGTTTTGTGTCAAGGGTGGCGGGTGATTGTTGACAGACGAGGAGAAAGATGGTCGTGTGTGAAGGTGCTGATGTCTTACTAACTACATGCACCTCAATGTAACTCGGAGGCTTGTATACAAAACGTCTGGAAACAACTGTTCTCTTCTTTAAATCTATTTATTTGACACTCCATTAAATGTCACAAAATACATCAAAAGATATTCCGTAGAATGCTGAATCATCTAAGTACTCATAGAATCGCGTTGTGTTCTCTATCTCTAGTTATTTTGTAAACTAGTTCTAGTTTCTCTAACTGCCACCGGGCTACTAGTACAGGTTGGGCTAAAAGGTATATTGTCTAGTGCCGTCTAACTACTTATCTATGCTCTGGCCTCTTCTTCGTCTGTCTCTGAGTCAATATCTGACCCCGAAGTTGTATCCACGCCAGAATCAGGCTGGAACCATGGGTGGTGGAAAATGTGTAACTCTCTTACTATGAAGCGGTATACAAGAGTTGATCCGCTGTCTTGCGTAAAAATGATCGTAACCAGTCGGAATGGGCCACTGCTTCTGACAGTAATTCTAATCGAATATATATATATATATTTAACTATCTTTTTATCTACAAAACTGACCGGTACTTCGCTCTACTATCTATCTCTGCCTCTATCTCTAGCCTGTCCTCTGGCCTGTCCTCTGCTGTCCTCTGTCGTCCTCTTTTTTTATGCCTCAGTCTATCTCCGTTTGTGTCTTGTGTCTTCTCTATCTGTGTCTATCCTCTGTCTGTCCCCTACTATCCTCTGGCCTGTCTGTTTATCCTCTGGCCTGCCTCCGTCTGTGTCTGTGTCCTCTGTGTGTGTATGTCTTCTGTCTCTCCTCGACTATCCTCTGTTGTCCGTCTCGTGTGTATGTGTGTCCTGGCTGTCTGAGTCTCAAAGGTTCCGGGCAATCGTTAATAAAGGGGTTACCAGGCTGCTCCCAGGGAGCTCCTATCCCTCGTTGTTTTGCAGTCTTCTGCAGCCACCTGAGCTGGCCGGGACATCAGTATTTTACCTAATTAAGTAACTAATTGTTTTGTGCAGGACGGGGAGAGTCACATGTCTAGTCAGACGATTCAAAGTACGTGGGAAAAGTTCTAACAATAAGGGTGAAGGCCACAAGGGTCTTGTCGTGCAAACAGCACTGCCTTTACTACAAATCATACAAGAAATATGAATAGTTTAGCAGTTCCCTAATTGAGATAACTGAATACTCACAAAGAACTATCATGCAGAATGTTAAGTTAGATGCATCAGGAAAAGAATAGTAGGCTGAGCTAGCTTCTAACCTATAAAAAAAAAGATTGAAAATTAGAGACAGTCATAACTGGGAACATTCCAATTGCCAAAGGGGAATCAACCAGCTAGAATTACTTTCTACTATTGGTCTGAGTTTGTGGCTTGCTGGCAGCACTATAAAGTAAATTCAAGATGCTAGTAGTATAAGGAGCTATCTATTTGCAAAGTTAAACTCCTCCCCTTTCTAGTATTCAATATGTCCTATCAGAGAAGATCTAAGCCACACCCTAAAAGTACCTAGCAGATCAAATTAGCTATCAAGGTGTTTCGTCACAGTTAGGTTCTCGATACTTGTACTTCTGGTGGGTTGAGGTCCCCTGATCTGAAACAAGACTGAAAGGCATTGTTTAAATACATGTGGTGTGGGGGGTAGGGTGGCGTAAGAGAGACTGGAATACCCGAGTAGCGCGTATGTAATCGTAATCGTGAAACCAAACAAAAATGTCAAATGTTGTCCTCGTTCAGCTGCGTTATTGAAGACGTTTTTTTTTTTTTTTGGCTATCTGATTGAATTCGATTCTGTGTGGCGATCATTTTCGCCTAAGTTAGGTTATTGCTACTCTATCATGTCTGCGTCGGCTCTGTGGCTAAGTTGATGCGAACGCTTCATTTCGTAATGCAGGGATACCAGGTTCGATCCCAGCTATGCGCCTTGCGTTGGTTTCGTCAGTGGTATCAAGAAAGCCGACCGTTCAGGAGGCAAATGGCAAACTACTGGATGTAAATTACCTAGAGAAACCACACAACAGCCAGGGGCTGTTAGGGTTGGTTCTGCAACGTCCTGTAATGGATACGCAACTAACTTTTAAATCTTGTCTGCTCGATCATGCTTGGCGGGCGAATTCCAGTTTTTTGGGATTGTGTTTGGCAGCCCCAAAAAGGGTTGCCATTTTAGCCTGGGCAGCCTGGAACGGGAAGAGCGGGGTCTCCGGTGAGCTGATTAGTTGGGCTGACATGGCGGCTTGGGTGGTTTTTTGTTGGCTGTTGCCTCTAGTGCTGGTAGTGGTTTTTTTCTGCCTGGTGTGTATTTTTTGGGGTTTCCTAGGCGTCTGGCGTTGCTTTTGTGCTTTCTAATCGAAATGTCGTGTGGCGGCTATTTTTGTTTGTTTGAAGAGTTGGAGGAACCAGTCTTGTCTGGCTTGGTATTCCTCAGGTGTTAGGCTTTCCTCCTCCTCTTTCCGCGCGGCCTTGTTATATTCTGCGTAGACATGGTTTTGGTGCACGATCAGCTTGTGCGGAAACATTTGATCATTAATTCTCCGGCAAGTTCTTGTACGTCAGCCTCGCTGATATATCGGTACCCTCCTCTGGGAGTTTTTGTGTGACTTGAGCTACTTTGTCTGTTTAAGTATTTCAAACTTCGCCTATAGTGGGATCTGTCAGTTGTGCCTGGAGCCTCGTCGCTACCGCATCGGTGACTGTGCTCTTGTCGGCCCTACTGGCGTTTTGTTTCTTTGCGGCTCTCTCTCTTTAGTTCTGTAACCGGGCGCACTCTGTTCGGGCTGTCATCTCGACCGCTTCTGCTTTAGCCTGTACTAGTCGGGTTACTTCTCTGTAGGCTTCCTCTCTCGCCTCTTTCAGCACGGCCACCTCTCTGCTTATCTCCTCCCACTGCTCCTGTCTGCGTCTCTCATCTGCTGCCTGTGCCGCTGCCAAACGTGCGATTAATGCCTTGATGCTTTCTTTAGTTTCTACATCTTCTTTCTTGTGGTAGATTTGTTGTGTTGCGTAGGCTGTTCTGTCCTTTTTCAGAGTATTTATTTTTCCAAGCATTAGGGAAATTAACTTATGCATTTCAGCTTTTTCGGCGTTCAGCGACTTTTTCCTTCTTCAGTTCGGATCTCAGTTCTGAAATTGCTTGCACTAGGTCGTGGTCTCTGAGGGCTTTTGATGGCAGGGAAGGCTGGCTTCTCAGTAGGTTGGTTACATATGGTCTGGTGGGTCCGGGCGCCTCGTACCTTTGCTCCTTCCTTGACTCGGCACTGGACACTCCTATCTTCATGTCTTTGAGGTTAGTGACTGAGCGGAAAAAAAAGGAGTAGCGCGTTTTCCGGTGATTCACCTTTATATGCTCACGAATTTGCCAGATTTTTCGAGTCCATCCAAAATTGAAATCCATTTGGCACCATGCCACACCTATATCAACATGTCTGTACGTGTTCCGTGTACATATGTGTGCGTGTTGGTATGTGCAACTGAAAGTGCTTTATTTACTTGTGTACACATGTGTAAGCGCATATATATATATATATATATATATATATATATATATATATATATATATATATATATATATACACAAGCATGATCGAGCCATACCAAGCCAGATATATATAAATATGTGTGTGTGTGTGTGTGTGTATTTGGTGTGTGCATAAATGTACATGTTCGTATGGATATTTGTGTGTACTTGTTTGCGTCTGTTTACTTATGTGGAAATGTAAATGCATGTGTGTCATAATTTATGTGTGTGTCTGTGTGCGCCAGTGTATGTGTATAAAAGCGTATTCTGTACTTCATATTTGCTAAACCTGACTTGATGAACTGAGCAGACTTAACCTGCTCATTTCCTGAGCTCCATTTCCGGGTCCTATTGTCCCATTCTGGAGCTGGGGAGTGGAGCATAGACCCACTACATCCTCAAGTAACGCAATATAAGGGTCGACAAATTATGGTTTTTATTCGAGGTCAGGGTGCCTGGACAGTAATGAACCAAGTTTTTTGGGGGGAGGGTGTAAACAAGCCATATTTGTTAAAGCCGATGTGCATGCAAAACTAACGTTCTGGATTAAGACCAAAGTCTAGAAGTGGACAAACAACCAGAGCTTTCTGCCAGAGTTTACAGCCGGCGAACGCAAAGAAAATTATTTTCAGGCCTAAATGTATGTAACCAACTTTTTACGCACACAATTTTTCAACACAAGTCGGGGAAGTATTGACACTATAAACATCATATACATACAGTATCTTTGGGTTTATGTCCACACAGATGTATAAAAAAAATAATTAAAGGTTCCTTATCCACGCCTTTAGGCGTAAGGGCATACAGGTTAGACCTACATTTTTTAAATAAACAATTCGGCACAAGATGGGTGATGTGCTCAGCACCACTCTTTTCGCCTTTACTTCCCTGGACTGCACCTGGTGCCCACTCAAGACTGGGTTGACCTAGGAGTCAAGGTCATTTTTTTGACAAGGGAGCTAATCTACGACCTTTCGATCCGCCCGTCTAGTCGCTACGCCACGGCGAATCGTCTACACAACAGATGGGTCAGTACAAAATGCTGGCAGAAGTGAAGAAGCAGGGGTGTACATTGAGTGTCCACTTAACACCATATATCTAGTCAAAATGCTAAGAGGAAAGCACAATCTCAGCCATAACTAGCTTAGGCTGACTGTCATCAAGTGACTTTAATTACGCAATCTTATATATATATATATATATATATATATATATATATATATATATATATATATATATATATATATATATATATACCCTCAAACCCCATAGTTACTAAAAAAAGTCTAGAATGTTCTGCACCATACATACAAATATAGGAGTGTCGCACACGCCGATTGTAAACATGTCCTCGTCAGGACGACCAGAGCACCAGGCTCCGCCAGAAATTTTTTACAATGAAACCGAAGCAGCAAAATACACAAGCAACACTTATATGCTAGACATCCAGCAGAAGTTGTCAGAGAGAGCCTTGGAGCTGCTTGCACCTCCAGACGATGTCTCCTGTTATATCTTAGATATTGGTTGTGGCTCTGGCTTAAGTGGTGATGTTCTGACAGAAGCAGACCATGTCTAGGTAGGCATCGACATCAGCCCCTCTATGTTGGCAGTTGCACGGGAGCGGGAAGTTGAAGGAGACCTGATTCTGGGAGACATGGGTGATGGTCTACCCTTCAGACCTGGAACTTTTGATGGTGTCATCAGCATCTCAGCCCTGCAGTGGTTATGCAATGCTGACAAGAAGTGCCGCTCTCCTGCCAAAAGAATGCTGAAATTCTTCCGGACGTTGTACTCAGTTATGAGAAATGGCACTAGAGCTGTCTTTCAGCTGTATCCAGAGAACAGTGCTCGGCTTGAGCTTCTGACCCAGCAAGCCATGAAAGCTGGCTTTACTGGAGGATTAGTTGTGCACTTCCCAAATAGTTCCAAAGCCAAAAAAATATTTTTGTGCCTTTTCTGTGGTGGATCAACACAAGCTCTGTCTGAGGGCCTGGGCACAGAGAACACGGCCACAAATGTGCGACAGAAACATGTCAAAGGGCAAAGAAAACCACTGAAGACTTTAAGAGACCGGGTCTTAGAAAAGAAAGAAAGATGGCGTCGCCGTGGAAGGGAAACCAGACCGGACACACAGTACACTGGGAGGAAGAGACGAAGCCATCACTTTTGATCGCCACAAATGTTGACTTCTTACTTATATGCTCGAACTATGTTTGTGTTGTGTAAATACATTAAAGTCTGGTAAAAAAAATATACAAATATATGACGTGAAATTTAAATGTGTTGCTAGGGGTTCAACCAATCTATGGTAAGGGTGAAAAAGTGTAAACGTCACTCCTTACCGACACCTCAACCTAACCACACATTTGAATTAATAACATCATGGGAGAAGGTTAACATCGGAGAGTTTGGTTATAAAACGTAAGAATAATTAGAAAACAAATTATCTGGAACTGTAAAGAATTATAAAGAAGGTATAGGATTAGTACTTTGTAAATAGCGAGAGGAAATTCTTAGATTCTAATAATTAGAATCAAAGAATTTCCTCTCGCTATTTACAAAGTAAATTTTCTTTATCATTCTTTACATTTCCAGATAATTAGTAATACTGTAATATCCACTCTGGAAAATAAATTAGAAAAATTTATAAACAAGGTCTTAGTGAACAAAGAAATAGTTAACAGTTTCAGTAGATGTTTATAATAAAAATATATCTTTGATTTTTCATAAGTGATGGCTGTTAATAAATATTAAAGTCCTGTAAGTATTAGCAGTTAAAGAAGGTGAAGCCAAGTGTACCGGCCGTAGTTGACAGGAGAGCCGAAACATTTATTGTTTTCTTAATCTTAAGATGAGAAGTAAAATATATGACACTGAATACCTGTTTGCATTTTATGGGACTTGTATGCTGTTGAACTGTTTCAGTATATTGAGCAGCTTGTATTTAATATGGGGGTAATCTGATCAGAGATATATATGTATATGATAGATGGATAAGGATAACAGTAATATGGGAATCAAAATTTATGTAATTATTTTCAGATTGTACACTAAGGAATATGTTCACATAGAACGAATATTATATTTGGTATAGATATATATGTATATGTCTATTTGTTAATATATCTTATGAATTAGACGTAATATGAGACTGAACATATATACTATTTGTCTGAATACTTAATCTGAGACCTAAAGCTGCTATCCAAAGTCAATCAAATTAGTCTGTTGAACAGATACACACCAGTCTGTATAGTTTTTCAGAGAATGAAGCTGCCTTTATTGTGTGAGACGAGTCGAGAAGTGTGATCCCAATTTAAAAGTGTCGAAGTTATGGTTACCATCACTTAAGAAGCTACTATCTGAAACAACATGAACCAACCATGAACATCAAAGTTACCAAGAAGAAAGAAACAGGTGACATTGAAATCTTTAAAGAGAAACATCCGAACAGAAATCTACCCAGAGGTCTATGACATAAATACTGAGATGAGTAGAGAAATTACTGTATTGAATTAAGTTGTTTTCGGACCTGAAGTCATAACTGATCTATTATGTGATCAATATTGTTAGAAATAAAGTAAATTTAATTTTTTTTAAATGTATAACTATCATTGCAGAAAGTATCGAATAGATGTTTCTAAGAACAAGTTCAAACGTTTAGAAAATTAATATCTTGTTGTCGTCGTGCGTCGTCCTTATATAAGTAAACCGCATTATTAGTGAAAGTTTCTTGTGGGCAATATCTATTAAAGCAAGGTCACCCTAATTAGGTAAATAGCCCACGACTTAACTCAATGTTGAAGAAGAGATTAAAGTCGACCACCTAATTCCTTGCTTCGGGATAAGAAAACTCAGAAAATCAATTCTTTTCTTCTCGGGACATTTCCCTAGAGTAGTTTCACAATTCCAGCCATAGATTCTGACTAATTCTATCCTGTGCTTTATGACACTGACCATTTTCTGACCTATGGTGGAGAAGGTCAAGACATCAAACCAGCATCAGAAAAACTGTTGAACAGCAGACATATTTCACAATCCGTGGTATATCATTAATATATATCATTACTATATCCGTCCTGTTTAGGACGAAATTTTTCGTTTTTTACCCTACTCTGGCTCATGCCAGGGGCCGCAATATAGCCTGGCCATAAATATGGCCTAAAGGCTGAACGCGGTTTCTGGGACCTCTCCCGCATGGTGGCACATTGTGTCATCAGGTGTTTATCGCTTGTGTGATGTCCTGGTGGGGAAGAAAGTCAGTCAGTCAGTCAACCCGTGGTATTCCTAACAGATGTAAGAGCGGCACTTCAGGCACTCGAATTTGGAAAATTACCTGGTATACGAACACTACTCTCCAAACTAAGCAACTGATGTAACTATGCAATGGATACCATTCCATTGTGGAATTCCGGGAAATGATAAACTAACTAAGGAAGGTGGATATAAAGAACAGCCTGACTTAGCAGTCTCTTATCAACAGAAGAAGGGAATTATCAAATCAATAAGAAAGCCACTAAAACCGACACAAGATGATTACATTATTATGGACATATCAGAACAAGTCGTTAGTCATTATTCTATACCTTCTATACCTGTCTCTACCTTTTTCAACATGCTTTGTGAGTCACAATGCCAGCATGTGTGTATAGCTAATTCTCAAGCAAGCGAAAGGCAGCAGTGACAGCCTCCACCTCCATTCTCAAACTAGTCGTTGTGATATCATATGCCAGGCTTTGCTGCACCAAGCGATGTCCATTCGCTTTCGCTATAAACCCCCATGTACTTCGTCTGCCCCTCAACACAGAGCCATCTGTATAGTATAGACAATCACATCACCTGAGCGGGAAATGTCATCAATCATTTGTTTAACTTCTGATTCTGCAGCAACTCACAACTCAAAGGAATGAGAACCCTTCACAAGTTTGAAACCTGCTCGGACACTTTGCCCCACTCCTCTCCTCGCCCAAATTTATCAAGTCTAGACACATGTCCAATTGTGAGCTTGCGCCATCCAAGACCTTCCTCTTTTTAGTCTGTGACGATTAGCTCTACCCAGGGCTTCATGCGGGTGCTGCTTTTTATCTGCAGCTACACTGAGATATGACTTTGCTTGCAGAACTTTGAGCCTATCAGCAATAGTAGGCAGTGCTAGAATATATCTCATACATACCACCACGGTATCTCTTGTACCTCCAAGAATTACCCGCATGGCTTCATTCTTTATGCGTTCAAGTTTCATCAGCTGACTCTGATATATAAAGAATTATAAGTTCATAAACTATCAACGACAAGATCACATATATAAACATTGTGAACAGCATTTTTTGTTCCATGTCCATTGCTGCCACAATCTTGAGAGCATTAAGTCCTTCTTCGCATCTCACCGCAGTAGCCTCTACATGATGCCTGAAAGATAGGCTTCTATCGAAAATGATACCCATTTACCTCAGTTTGCTTTGTCTTTCGATGTTATTGTCATTAATTGTGAGGCTTGGAACATTAGCTCTTATAATTCTATAGTCTAGAGAGCACCACAAATTGATGACTGCATCTATTTCTGCACACCATTCAATCACTTTGTTTACAGTTGCTTCTAGCTCTTGGGCTATACTTTCCCTATCACTTCCTTGCCTAAATGCAAGAACGTCATTTGCAAATGTTAATATTTTTCCAACACATGGTGCTTCAAGTTCTGAAATCTTGCTTGAATAAACATTGAAGAGCAATGGTGAAATTGAAGAACCCTGGTGTAGTGCTGGGGCGATATTACGTGGTTCTGAGGCCCATGTACCAAGGCGAAGGGCAACCATATGCGAGTGCAGGACAGCTGCTATCCAGTTCACAAGCAAGAGACAAACTCCCTTCTCCATTTCAGATATCAAAATATCATATATGACTCTATTGCATGCATCCTCAAGATGAAGTGCTACCACAACCGTCTCCCGTATATTCTAGAACTTTTCATAAACATCAAAAGCAAATGTAACTAGATTTGACCAGGTATCTTTCCGAGGTCGGTAACTACACAGACCTTTAGGCAGGAGCTCTTCCTTTTCCAAAAACATTTTTAGTTTAACCAATTATAATCTTCTCTAGTACCTTGCCAAAGGTATTTTGTAGGGTGATGTATACAAACTCTAAGACTGGAGAATCGGCCTTCTACACTTGTATACTGGAACCTGAGACAACAAATCACGCCCTCCAAGACTGTCCCAATTACAACACATCAAAGCACACCTTCCAACTAAACAGAAGGGGGAACAAATGTGCACCCTACTGAATAAATACACACATTTAAAATGGAAAACCACGTTAACATAAAACGCAGGCTTACAATTTCAAAGATTGTTTAAAACTTAAAAACTTAACTGATAATTAATTACACAAATGGGAAAAGACAGGGGTGAGGGGAAAGTCAAAACTTTTAGTTTTTAGTTTAAAAAAAAATAGTCTTTGATAGATAACTGCTTCACGCATATCACCTCTTCCTGGGCGTAATCTCTTTCCACTTACGTAATCAGTAGTGTCACCTGGCCTGGCTCACTAATGCACATAGTGCTGTCTCAACACTTCCGAATGTGGAATGGGATGTTTCCTGACATCCAGGGACGCCTCCTCTACCCATACTCAGCTTTCAGCTTACTCTGTACCACCGTTTCCACAATATCTGTGTCAGTTAGTTCATCAATTTCGTTAGTTGCCATATATTTTCTACTGCCATCTGCAGTGACATCGTCACAGCTTGGTACTTTTTCCAGCAACGAAACAAATGTATCATTTTCATCTTCCAATTCCATTTCACGCACAGGCTTCTGTCTGAAATGTCAATCTTTATGGTCGAAAATATTTTGCTAAGCCCTTACAAGTTTATTGTCTGGAATCTCTTCCTGTGCTTCTGCCACTTATATCATAGTCAATATTTTTATAACCGGATAGTGCGAAGTCCAGATAATCGAGTTTCTAATGTACATGCAGAAAAAAGATCTTCTGCGTTCGATTAAAAGAGTGTTTGGCAGGCCGTGTTTGGTTTAAAGTCGTCTGCGATTTCGGCACCTTTCTGTCCAAAATTTCTGCCAGCCCTTAATAAGTTGCCTTCAGGCTCCACCATCTCCCCGCCCTCCCCCCCCTCCCCCCACCCCCCCCCCCCGTCCCGGTCCCATTTCTAGT